ATATATATATATATATATATATATATATATATATATATATATATATATATATATAATAAGTATGATTAAATCATACTATTTAATCGCACTTATTTCATATTATTTAATCACATCTATTATATTATATGATGTTATGCGTATATCCCATTATATTGTCAAAGGATGTGGTGAAATTATTGCTTTTGTGAAATGTATATTACAACTTACTATTATTTATAGTAATTTAACTGTTAAGTGCATCCGAAAGGTTATTCTGACAAAAAAAAATGTCCGCGTCGAAGCAAAAACGTTCGTCGTCTCGTACGACTAGTCTGGCATCGAGCAGTCGAGCTGCAACAGCGGAATATCCGATTCTTGTGGAAAGCAGTGGAGACGGAACTGAATCCTCTTTCAAGTATGGTTCATACTTTCTGAAGATGGGCTGTTTATGAAGGCATGAGATGGAGTTTTTCGACCCAAGAAATTGGGCGCGAAACAGTTCACCACAGACAAGTTTCGGTGGGAAATTGTGGCTATGTTTCCCATTTTAAGAATTTCCTTCATTTTTCGTGACATTAATAACCAAAAACACTTGTTAACTGCGACAATTTATACCTTTTTGTTTTCCAGCATTTCGGTTTCACCCAGCCGTCGGACTCGACAATACGAGAAGGATACGTTATCAAATTTGAACGACCGTCTCGCTGTTTACATCGATGTAAATATTTTCTTTATGTTCCATTTTTGTCAAAAGTGGAAGTGTTGCTTTTTTTTCCTTGTTATTCTGCAGTTACTTAATGGTATAATCTTTTGAATATTGGTAATTAGTGTATGCTAATAAAAAGGGTGCGTGCTGTAAATGGATTTATCACTGGGGAAAAAATGCGACCAGAATTTTTTCCGTACTCTTTTACCACTTTTTTAAGCGAGTTCGTCAGCTTGAGCTGGAGAATGAGCGCTTGAACGTACGTATAAACGAAAGTGAAGTGGTCGAAAAGAAGGAGCGGCATGATTTGGTAGCACGTTATGAGGCGAAAGTTAAGGAGTTGCGTGATCTAATCGATGATGCTTTGAAAGAGAAAACTCGTGTCAATATGGAGGCAAAATCAGCGCTCGCCGAACGCGATAATCTTCGTGCTAGAGTAATCGGTTTAATCTTTTACTGGATGTAATAGCGTCATGTATAATGTGAGGTTGCATGGGTATTTGAATCATTTTCTGTCTTCATTTGGTCGAATTCATATTCGACCTTTATTTGTAAAATTGTCAGTCTGCTCAAATTTCTGATTTTATTTTTATCAGAAATTCAGGTCATCTTGCTCGTATTTTAAGATTGGGAAGCTTGAAAAAGAACTGAAGCAATCTGAAAAGCTCCGTCTAAATAACGACAGTCTTATACAGGATCTCCAGGCCAGGCTGAATTCTGCCGATAACATGAGAAGACATCTAGAGGATGAGAATAAGGTTGCATTATTTGTGAGTTAATTTCAGGTTTCGTCTGGGTTTCTTTGTTATAAATATCAGTTCTAGAATCTGTTTGCCGAAAATGAAGACTTGAAGCAACAGCTGGAGATATTGCGAAAGCAGGTTGAAGATGAAGCGCTTGCCAACACTGCACTTCATAATCAGAACCAGTCACTGAAGGAAGACTACGAATTTTTAAAACGAACTCATGAAGGGGCAAGTTTGAATGTCTTTTGTAGTTTCATGTCATATGTTGTTCAGTTTAGATATATTGTTGTTCGATCTTCATATATTTGGCAACATATAATGAGGGTATAAATGGCATACTTCTGATGTTTTCATGCTCGTCAAATTATTGTGACAAAGATCCATATTAAATTTGACCGAATTAACTGAAATTTGATTGAGCTTATGAATGAGCTTATGAACGCTTTTTCCAGCAATTGGAGGAAATACATCGAAAACGACAAGTGGAGATGACAACAACGGCACGTGAAATGGAGCGGACATATGAATCACGCTTGCAAGAACAACTTCAAGCTATGCGCGCTGAATTCGATGAAAGACTGAACAAAAACCGACGTGATATTGATGAAACCTATAAGGTTAATACGGTTGAGAAATAAATATCTATTGTTATTTTGTTTTATTTGTAAGCTCGTGAAAGCTGTTTTAGAACAAGCTTAATGAAGCAAATGAAGCTCGCCAACAAATGAATCTAGCAAAAGAGGAAGCGGCAAGGTTACGTCTACGCATTCACGAAATGGAAAAAGTTGGGAGTGGTTATGAGAGCCGTATAGAAGGCCTTAACAAGAAGATTGCTGACCTAGAGAGTCAGGTTTGTCTATATCTAGTTGTATTTAATTTGCTCACTCAATCTGATTTCTGAAATTCACTTATTAAATTATAACGATTTGATAAATGAAAAGCATCATTATGATGAATATTTCAGCTGCGTTTTGTGCGCGATGATTGCGATGTTCGTATTAGTCAACGTGACAAGCGTATTGTGGAACTCCAAGGAGAAATTGATCGTTTGTTGAACGAATATCAAGATTTGTTCGATCTTAAGGTGCAGCTTGACACCGAGCTGAAAGCATATCAGAACTTGTTAGAAGGAGAAGAATCGCGGTATTTCTTCCACTTATATGCCCTTGACCAGAAAATTTCCTATTTGTTAACATTACGATTGTTGTGACATTATGAATTCTTATGCAGCATTCGTTGGGAGTTGTATGTTAAATCAATTTTACTGTTTTATTTCTTCCGTGTTATTATTGTATATCATTTAGATTAAATATTTCGCAGCAGTCTTCCGGAAGTTCTCCAACGACTTCACCATCTGCTGGTGATCGCTTCAGTTTGTCGTATGCAGACTCTGGCCATCGTCGTTCAATTAAACGAAAACGCTTTAATGCGTCAGACGACAGTTTGTATTATCGCAACACTGCAAAATCGTACAAAGTATTCATAATGTTGTTAGTTCAAAAAGATGAATGTTTCTGCGCAATGTACAGACTGCGGTTGGGTAGCTTTGTGTTGAGATATGTTTCTTAAGTATTTTTTGAAAATGCTGCTAGCTTTATCTGCGAATTAAACGCTGAATCAAGTGTATGTCAGTTTTAAAGAGTTGATTTCAGACGACTTCCAACTCAGATTGCGATATCGAAATAGAGGAACATGACACAGATGGGAAGTTCATAAAATTGATGAATAAAGGCGAAGAAACAATCTCAATTGGTCAGTGGGCCATCAAAAGCATTGCTAATGATAAGGAAACTGTTTACAAATTCCATTCTAGACAAACAATGAAACCTGGCGATACTATTACTGTATGTTTATACTTTTTTTTATCCGAGTTAGGAGTTCTTTTTGTTTTAGATGACTATAACTATACTTGCTTTTGTGTGGAAAATTTTTTCCTCTGTTTTTTTGTCATTTAAGCAGAAATGGAAATATGAAGGAAGATAAACAAAGTAAGGTGAGAAGGGAAAAAGTGTTTGCCATGCAATTTGGAATTGTTTTTGCCTTTTCATAACTAATACAGTTTCATTAGGTTTCACCACAATTTACTAAAGGTTTGGAGTGCGGATAGTGGTGAAAAACATACGCCACCATCCCAGCTAGTAATGAAGAATCAGCAGTGGCCTGCAGGTGATCGGGTCAAAACATCTTTGGTTGATGCGGATGGCAATGAAATGGCTACTAGAGAAAGCATAGCTGAGCTCCAGTATGGACAGTTTGTTAGTGATGATGGTCAGGATCCGGATCAACGATGTGCTGTCATGTAGACTGCTTTGATCAGTTGTCATAAATGTGATGGTCTCGTTTGTTACTTCTATCATTACAGAGTTTGAATGCTTATGAAGACGATGGTCACAGATTGGATATTAATTTATTGGGATAGAAATAAATGGTTTGGAAATAGTGACGAAGAGTAGAAATAGAAACGAATATAGTTTAGCATTTTGGGGAACATTTCCGAGAAAGATAAAAGAAATCGATTTCCTGTGATCTGATCGGGTCTGCTTTAATGCGGAATGTTTGTTGTTGTTTGTTTGACTGCCTGTTCCTTACTCCGCATTACTTTCATCGTTAAAAGCATTTTAGTTTGGTAAATCGCGGATGAATGTTATTGTTCTACTACGTCGTAGTTAATTGTTGGCTTTCCTATTTCTAGTAATTATTACTGTGCACACAACCTGACCCAAGCCTGAAATCTTTGGTTTCCAAAGCTTAAATTTTGAAAAGCGATAATAACAAATTATTTGTCTACTGCCTAACGTAGATGTTTACCCCTCACTTGACACTGGTCCTTTTTAATATTACGAAGCTGTTGTTATCGGTTCTTTATGCCTTGTTTTAAGCAGTCGATCCATCAAATTCATAAATCATTTTGAGTGTCTCAATTCCTGTTTTCGCAATATTTACCTCTTACTTTTTTTGTATTTGGAATTCTCGATTGTTTGTTCGGAATGTATGTTTCTTTTCAGGTTTGTTCCTTTTTTCTATGAAATTATTTGGATACAGACCAGTAAAGTTTTTTTTCCCGGTGTTTTTTTAGCAGAACTTAGTGCTCTCAATGAATGGTGGTTACTGATCTGAAACTTTTATTTTTTGGAAAAGACTGGTTGCTTTTTTCATAAGCATTAAAATGAAAGCTCGAACATTCACTGCAGTGCATTTATGCTTCTTGATCTACGCTTGTCAAAATGACCAACCTCAGTTTCGCAAGAGCTGCTTCCAATGTTGCCAATTGATTTGTGTTTTCCCGGTGTGGGTCACTCACTCCTCATTATCGCAGTTTCTCATCCGTTGATCATCAGTATATGCATTTCATGACTCCTCAGTGGTATAATAGTGCTGGCTCATTTTTTTTTTAATTTGTTGATTATTTAAGCTGAGTGGTGGAAGTCTTTTAATATAACATTTGAAATGTGTTTTTGTTCTTGGCGTTTAAATTGCGGAAACTGACAGCTTAAACAGTATAGGATATGATGCGTGAAACATGAAATGAATATTTTCAGAGAGATTAAATGAAAAGCTGAGTGATGCTGAGCACATATGCTGAGAAAAGAAGTATGTTTAGCGTTGGTGGGTTGAAGTTGCTACTGATACTCTCAGTTAGTGGAAATCTGCTTTCCGAGATAGATCTTGGTAGCAATAACAGGACGGGAAGGTGTGCCTTTTTTTGATATTAGATGAATAGCAATAATTCCGAGGTTTCAAAGATAAAGTTTTCTGATAAACGCTCCACGAAATGCAACTGATGTGCTATTGAATTTAAGGCCGAATAAAACGATTACGGAAAAACACAAACGGTTGTATTATTGCTGTACTTCTATTGTTCTTTGTTTAACTGTACGATACAGATGAATTTACTGCTGTTCAGTATAGCTTAATACGGAAGGCATCGAATGGATATTGCTGAAATTACCACTAGCTAATTTATTGATTTTATAGTGATATCATTGACAACGAAACAACGAAACTACCAATATTATCAATTGTTGAGCACAATGAAAATGTGGAAGAAAAGAAAAGTTCGATGGTGAAACGTTTTCTTTTCAAGGAGGAGTAATCCTTTTTCGAACCCTGAATTTATTTAGCATTTGAACTGTATTCCAAAATTTTTCAGGCTATATTTTTCATACTTTTGGTGATTGCTGTGTCAACATTGGTCGTGCATATGCTTATCGTGTCTAAATTATATTTTATACCAGCAAGCCTAACCATAGTTCTTTTGGGGAAGTTTTTATTAAATGTTGTCATTATTCATTACGAAGTTGCTCTTTAGATTAACTGCGGTGTAGCTGGACTCTTGGCAAAGCATGAATTGAACTTGTTTTTCTAGTAAAGAAACTTCTCTTACTCATTGCGCAATTCATGATCCTTATTAGAAAGTAGTACTATTAAAACAAAAGCAAAGGGTTGGCGAAGCCCAACTGTTTAACTCCATCGGGTGGCGACACATTTTTTCAGCAATAGCTTTTTGAGTTCTCCATATTAAAAAGAATCTTATTATTTGCAGATTTTGTTTTATTTGAGAAAATTTGTAGGTGCTATAATTGGTCTGGTGCTATCATATAGCAAAAGAGATTGGACAGAAGTGGAAACATTTAGTCCCAATATATTTTTTCTTGTTCTTCTTCCCCCGATCATTTTCGAGAACGGTTACAACCTACACAAAGTAAACTATGGAATAAAAATAATTCACTGGATGTGAAGAAACATTTTTTTATCTTTGTTACTTCATGGTACTTTATTTCTAAAGAATTTGGGAACAAATTCTTTTGTCTTGTAGTCCTGACTGGATTGCAGGGCGATTTTTTCACGAATATGTTCCCGATCTTATCATTTGCTACACTTGGAACAGTAATATCTGCTGTAACTATTGGTTCAGCGCTATACATCCTTGGCCAGGTTGGCTTGGATAAATTTCCATTGCATTTTCTTAAAATACATGATTTGTTTCTGACACTCTGATTTGTACGATTGAATTTCACAAATATGTGGTCAGTTAATCAGTCACCATACTCGAAATTCTTAACATTAATTTGGATTCATTTTGATTTCTCTGCTTGAGTCCTGCTTGCGATATCTTTTGTCATTAGTAGAGAAGTGCATAGCTGATTTTGGTTTCATTACTTTAGAAATAGAAATTAGCAAGCGAATTTTTGCTGTTTGAGGGGTGCTTCCTTATAGATCAAAGCATGTCGAAGTATTTGTCAGCTGTTTTGTGTCGATATTTAGTACGTTTGCTACTTATGATTCAGTCCTTACTCATTTCTTTTTACTATCAGGCTGATTTAATATATAAAATGAGTGCCGCCGAGAGTTTTGCATTTGGCTCAATGATTTCTGCTGTGGATCCAGTTGCCACACTTGCAATCTTTCAAGCATTGAACGTATGCTTTTAATGTTCTGTTTAAAAAATTTTTGTGCTGATAGCAGTAATATAACATTTATGACTTAGTAGTTTTGTTCCAATTCAAGAATTTAAGTAAACTTCTATAAAGAAATGCAGTAAGTGCCGTAAGATGTGTTTAGCTTAAAGTGCTAAACTAATTTCCATACTCATGGACCAGCATAGTACCTGAAATATTTTTGCCAAAAAATTATTTTTAGGTTGAGCGAATGCTATATATGCTTGTTTTCGGTGAGTCCATGCTTAACGATGCCGTTTCCATCGTTCTTACATCTAGTTCTCTGGACATGTCTCTTCATAATTTTACATGTTCAACATCAGGCAGCTTATTTTTCCCAATAATCTCCAGATTTACATATATCTTTCTCATATCTGCTCTTCTTGGTGCTTTTGTTGGATTTCTTTCAGCACTGGTATTTCTTGATTCTTCAAAATTTTATTATTTTAACAGTAATTAATTATATTAAGATTTGGGTCTTGATTAATTGCTCACATTCATTTCAGTTGTTCAAGTACGTTGATCTTCGTAAAACGCCATCACTGGAGTTCGCTTTGCTACTTATATTTGCATATTTGCCGTATGGTCTTGCAGAAGCCATTTCGCTTTCAGGTTACGCGACAATGTCTTTTTGATCAAATTATTTCAGATTTATTATATTCTGTTTCGATTTTCTATCATTTTAGGTATAATGGCTATTTTATTTTGCTCAATAACTATGTCTCAGTACACTCATTTCAATATTTCACCTATAACACAAATCACTATGCAACAGACATTCAGAACATTGGCATTTGTGGCAGGTAAATTTTCTATGCACCCATGAAGAACAAGGATGTAAAAGCTTCCATCGTTGTGGCATAAAGTCGATGTTGAGAAATCCAGCTCAGCATTCAATATAGTCTAGTTATTTTAAGAAATTTGCACCTTTGCATATTTGGGACTGGCTTTATTCACAATCAAGCTTCAATTTCAACCAATGTTTGTGTCATGGAGCATTGTAAGTTTTGTGCTTTAGCTTATTGGATAGATCTTTCTATTTCCACTGTAATACAAATAACCAGTTCATTGGAGTGATAAAACCAAATAACAATGAACTTTCTCGAGCTGATCAGCTATCTTTGCATCTATTGTGCAATCACATCGACGGTGCAAGTTTCGCTGTAGTATTGGAAAACTAAAGATTTATGCTGCTCCATCCAAAGATATGCCATTTCAGTTGCTTTGCTTCGTTGGCCGTGCATTCAATGTATTTCCGCTTGCTTATCTGGCCAACAAATGTCGTCGTCCTCAGATTTCTATGAAAAATCAGTTCATAATGTGGTATAGTGGCAAGTTTCGTATCATTTAATTTAACTTGGGAATTTTGTGGATGAGTGTAAAGAAATCAATAGTGCAGTTTGACTGAACTTTCCACTCATCTTTTTTCTTGCAGCATGTAATCTTTGGTAGTTGTCTATTTATCTATAGATGAATGAGTAGGGATTGATTTGATTTAGCTTGACTGATTTGAATTTCCCAGTTTTGAAGGAACTTCATTTAATTTCATTTCAAAAATGTGGATTAAATTAGCTTCCCATCCTTTTCATTCTTAAAATATGATCTTAGTTCAGGTTGTTCAGGTTATCAAAATGCTGGTATAATTTTTATCCATACTGTCGTATGGGTACTTTTATGTAGCTCAAAGTTTCTAAGCAAGTTTTGCTTGATTTTTTCACTGCTTCGAGGTCTGGACTTTTCAGGTATGAGAGGGGCCGTCGCATTTGCATTAGCTTTGCATATATCGATAGAAAACGAGGAAACAAAAAGAGTTTTGCTAACAACAACACTTTTCATCGTGTTATTCACCATTCTTTTTCTTGGTGGTACGACTTTACCTATGCTGCGAGTAAATATTTTAATTTTCCTTGATATCATTTTATAGAAATTAAAATCTTTATTATCTTTTTTGAATTACAAAAATCGAAGTGTATATTCCCAAATGTTTGGTGCTTTTGTTGCAATTCGAAAATAAAACTAGTTTAAATTTTAGATTCTAAGCAGTACATTTCCGGAGAAGAAGCAGCGAAAGAGTGTAGGAATACGAAAAGCGAGTGATAGGAATAGGTCTGCCGTGGTGCTAAGTAAAACACAAGAAATGGTTTTTTATTTTTAAAAGATCATTATTAAATTCTTAGTGTCAATATTATTCTTCTGCTAAGCAGTGTTTATATTGCATTTTGCAAAATATTTTAAATTGAATTTTAACATTTCTAATCGCTCGTCTTGAATAATAGTTCTCTTTAAGTTTATATTCGATCAGTCGGAATATTTGACTTCTGGCACAGAAGAGATTGGTAAATTTAGTAAATATGAGGGAAATACATATAAGGGAGCTGCTTACAAATTTAACGAGCTATTTGTACGACCACTCTTTGTCCGCAGATATACGCTGCAAGTAAGTCTATATTTTTAGCTTCCTAAGTTTGAAGTTTTTAACGACAAAAATTTGGATTGCTGTGCAGCGTGCTTTGTGTCTGTCGGTTTAAATCTAAGGAGAAATTTCAAGTTTTCATTTCTTATCGCTTCGGCAAATCAGCTTATATTCTGAGTTTTTTAGGAGCTACAGGAGAATCGAATGAGTATGCATCAAATTACAAGTAAAATACTCAGTGCAGATAGTGGTGGTCTAATCCGGCATTTCTCTACCGATGAAACGTCCAGTACTTCTTCCACAGCCCAACCGTTATTATGACTTTGACCTTTACTGAACTTCTATTGCTTACATAGTTTTACTTTTTTATTGTAATCAGCAAATAAATGTATCACTATCGGATGATCATTAAATTAGCCGGTAGTGGTATATCTTCTGATTACAGGAGTGTCCAGTGCTCCTTTCCCCCCTAATAATCATTCTGTTCGATATGTTGTATACAATGTTGGGGTTTTAAATTAATTTATAATTGCTTAATAATTGACTAAATTTATATTTTGGAGTATCTATGAACGCGTAACTCGTGCACTCGTTAAATAAAATTTTGGATTGGTACATGGAAAAGACTTTTTTTTAGGTATTTGAATAATGAATACCAAGATTTTCAATCAAAATTCCTTATTGCGGTAATGCATCCCTACATTCATTCCATTTGCGTAGTTTATTAAACATCTGCCCTATGCTTCCTCTTAAAATTATATCAGGAGTACCGGATTGTAAACTTTAATTTGGTTCTTTTGTGATGGGCATCATTATTAAATAAGCCGATAGTGGTACATTTGCTGATTTCAGGAGTGCCCACTGCTCCATTCTTGGTTGATAATGTTTTGTCCGAGTTCTCATAAGTATTCC